AGAGACATCGACGAGCGCTTTGCTGACAAACTATTAGGACAAAGTACCATAATCCTTATAAAGAAATATTCAAATTAGAGCTGCAATCGTCTGTCTACTTTCTTCTGCACAGTGAGAAAAACCATTTTTGCATGAAAACAAAGTAAATCAATCTGTTATGCAGAGGCCACGTTAGTAAGTAATTAGAGAGTAAATCAGATATAATAGAAACTAAAGGTACTTTCAACTTCCTGGAATAAAGTAAACATAAATTTGCTGCTCTGATTCAAACTTTTCTTTACATGACTACCTACGGTTACGGCGTAATCAAGGCTGCTCCTCCGTTTGGTATAATCTTCACCATTTTTTCTGTTTTACAAAGATTTCCTTCATGTGTTTCTTCGTTCTCATGTTTGACAAACTATTTTTTTAAGCCTTTGGTAGCGATTCAGTAGAAGACACATTCACTCACATTGTACTTTAGTCTATTTTCTCACTGGTTAGTTCCTTCAAAAGCTTCAGTTTCATTCAATTTGCGTTTAGTCCAGATCAGGCATGCAGCCATCCCAAGCCAGGGCTCGGTGATCGGCAGCGAACATGTTCCGCAGCGAACCGTTCTGTAACAAACCGTTTGATGACCGAACATGTTCGGTAACAAACCGTTCGGTGCTGATCAGCGATTTCTAGTTTGGGATTGTTGCATGGGTACTTATTACCCAGTGTAGCCAGAATATCATCATGATTCATGAAGACGAAAGAAAAAAAGATGGAAGAAATCAACATTAACGGTAGACATATAACAGAAAAAGATAAAAAAAGTGATAGTGCGAAAATGCAGTGATCATTTTTTAGGGTCGTTTTGAATCCTTTATCATAGTCTCACAAGCAGTACTGCATATGTAAGTCAAGACCAGCGTTGCTCAATCAATTTCACTGATTTGGCTCATATTTTTACAGTGGGTAGATGTAGAAAAATTAGAAAGGAATCTAAAACTTCAGTTCAAGCAGATGAGTCATTCTGGAAATCTAGTTGTTGCAAGTGTAGGTACACTGCTAAATTTAGAGTACCTTGCAGAGCAACACTTTTCAGTAAATTTCATTTTTGAAAGAACAACAAGAGTTATGGGGTATTTGTAAACTACGCTCCCACTCACACTCACTCACACTCATTCCCAAACTAACTTTTAATTACATGGTTGGATAGAGGATGCCGAGTTGTCTTCACACCCACCCATATTTTTTTCTGTCTTACCTTTACCGTGCGGAATGGCTGGAAGATATTCGTAAACCATACACACACACACACAGCCAAAACTCAATCACACTCACCCCCAAATTAACTTTTAAGTACATGGTTGGATAGAGGATGATGAGTTGTCCTCACAATCTTTGAATTCCGGGTTAAGAAAACTACAATACACGGCTTTTTTAGAAAATATGATTTTAGTATGGTCATCTCGATTTTAACCGAAGCGGCAGCCAAAACTGATTATAATTTCATTCACAGATAGAGATCTCTAATCGTTTATACATCATTCGATGCGCCGTAGAAAACTCTACACTATGTGCTAATAGGAAACCTAACGACGCTCGCAGCGGTTTTTGTGTGTTAAATACTGCGACGCTTAAACCCACATTGGGTCCAAATTTATTTTTCATTTATTCGGCGACCATAATAGCTAGAATAAATTTGAAAAAAGATCTGAACAGCAGAAAGAATTTCCAATCTGATGTGGTGCATATAAAGGTTCTATGAAAACTCGTGAAACCAGGATCTCTGGCAAACCAAGATCTTAGAAAACCAAGTCCTCAAATTCAATACACAAATGCTTTCTAAATAGCTTCATCATGTAGAGCAAACATTTCTGAAGAAAATGAGACGTCTCTGAGCTCTTTACGCCATTTTTTCGTGAAACAGCATTAAATTTCAAAACCGCTGCGAAGCATCGTTAGGTTTCCTATTAGCATATAATGTGAAGTTTTCTACGGTGCATCGAATAATGTATGAATGATTAGAGATCTCTGTCTGTGGACGAAACTATAATCATTTTTGGCTGCCACTTCGGTTAAAATCCAGATGACCATACTAAAATCATATTTTCGAAAAGAAAAAACGTCACCCTCACCGAATACAATTTGCTAAAGCTTGATGGTATCAGAGTTGAAACCGGTTGAATTTTTCCTAACCGGACCGGACCGACTGGTTCAGCTTTTCGAAAACACCGGACCGGCCAGTTTAATGCGTAGGACAACCGCTTAAAAACTGGTCGATTTCGTAGCAAATTAAAGTCCTGATTTTGCGAAAAATCGATTTTTCGCAAAAAGCTGAGCTTGTGTATTTTTAAAATCTTCCTGTTCTATTTATTTCAGCATTAAAAATTTTAATGTGTACTCTGTGTTAATCTATATCCGAAATTCGCCAGTGATAGGACAAATGTAAAATAAAGTAATAGGTTATATTTGGGGTTTTTTTTCTAGTCTTTTTTGTTCATAGCTAGCGCCCCGTTCTAGCGCCGAAAGATTCACCGTTTCGCGCGCGACAGAAGTACATTCTTTGTTTTTCGAGAAAAGTTTTCATTGAGAAGATACAGCGTCTGCAATACAAGCATGTCAAAATCGGCCAAGTCATTCTTCAGTAAAAAATTGTGTTTTTGCTTAAATTTCGTAAAAACAAGTCGAGGTAGGCTAAAAAAGATGGAGAACTCAATGGACTGAGATCTTGTGGCAGACTTTTATAAACTTTGAAGGTGCTTAGACTTGGAATAGACGGCAATAGCTTAATACTTTCACTTATATTTTCATTTTTATGCCTGATGATTAATTAGAGAAATTTTGGAAACAGCAAAAAACTAATCATCTAAATTAACATTCGTTATCTTTCTGTGACTGATTATCTCATCTTTACATAAACCACTAAATACATTGTTAAAACTTCACAGTAGCTTTTTCCTTCTGAATATCCTTTTATTGTCCTCCAAAAACGACGAAACGACTTTAGATGTACTTTTTCTTAACAAAACTTTACGTCAGGTATTAAACGACTAAACTATGAGAAAACTGATCCGTATGTTTACGTATGTATTGTTTGCTGTGACACCAATAAACTTCGATAGGATTTGTTTCGCAATGGTATTTCGGTGTAAATATGACTGTAACACCGTAGTCCAAGGCCAGTTTTTCCAATTTTATGACCTATCCAAAAAACGCAGGGCGTGAAATATTTCCTATGAAAAAAATAGATATAGTATTTGATAGGAAATTGTTTTTCCTACAAGATGATACAGTTTGGCATGTGTATCTCTTATCCGAGGCAAGAAATATGAGCTTTACTGGAAAAACCTGTTCGAACAGGTTTTTTCCGTGATTTAATGTATTTTTGAATGCCCTGAGTTTTCTTAGAAATGCTTTTGAAATTCTTTTAACAAATGCATTTTGTAGAGCAACCATGTTTCTACAAAATAAGATGTTTCACAGCTCCGAGCAAATCATGATAACTGGTTTATAGCAATTCTACCGGACGTCCCAGCACTGGTTAAAAACTAGTGCATACCCACTGTCGTTTTCCGTGAATAAGACAATCCGTTGTTTTGCTTGTAACCTTTTAAGGAAAAGACGTACCGAACTGCGGTTTTCATCATTCGATAGCCAAGACCTGTACCCAATGTATATAAAATAGAGTACATATTCGGAACTGCATCCCATAATATGTCTTTCTTAGTTCCAGAACAAAATAATTTGTGATGTAAATGGAAAATCGCCATGGAGCACTTTTTCAGAACTGAGTTCTTTAAATCGACGTCTGAAGTCTGAAAACCAATTTTTTCTAGGTTCTTTGATATACTCTTCACGATGGAATGTGTATCCTTTGTAAGTGTCCTTTGTAGGTGTGTATCCTTTCTCGCTAAATTTGCGAGAAATTGCACTATGGAAAACTCAGTGGCGCTAAAACGCTAAATCTACATTTTGGAAGCATGCCATCGGAAAGCGCATATCAAACTACCTAGGAAAAAAACTGATCTTGCTACTTCAAACTTCGGTTTAAGCCGTTCAATTTTAAAGAGAAACGGTGAGTATTATGGCCGTTTCCGATTTTCGTCGAAAAACATTTCATCGCAGAGACGTAAGAAACACACTACCAGACGCAGTTTTGATTGTAATATCGAATCTGACTTCAGATTTGAGGTTCGACAAAACTGCGAGGAAAAATCCTTAAAAAAACTGAAAAATTGCTTTCGATCGGTCATCTTGTTTTTCAAACCTTAGGCTGTTGCCGGGGTTTTATAGAGGCAGTTCTCGAGCATGTTTTGTTGGATATTGTTTTTCCTACAAGATGGTAAGATTTGGCTTGCGTATCTCTTATCTGAGACGAGAAATACAAACTTTACTCGAAAAAATCGCGTTTTTAGAAACGCAAGTTTTTCAGTGTTATGTAATTTCAAAATTAGGTTCGAAGTCTTTTTATTATCAAACACGTTGTCTAACATATTTTTTGACGGTCTTTCAGATGAGACGAAGAGCAAATAGAACGGACAAAAACTGGCGGAGTTATATACGAAACATTTGAGATGATGCTTTTTCGTGTTTTACAAAAGTCTTCATTTTGAAATGCCTATAACTTCGTCAAAATAAAAGACAGAGACTTGATTCTTCCGGTGCTATTACTCAGTTTGTGATGGAGAATCCGAATATGCAATACAAGACATTGTTAACGTTTTTCATTCTACGGCTCTCTGACAGCATGCTCGATTCTCTCAAGAGCTCTCTCTTAAACTTGTAGTGATTTGTATGACCTTTACGGAGTACGTAAAATAAACTGAGCTGCATCGAATGGCGCCTAAAAGGAACTTTCTAGCTTCCATATTTTTCGAAAAAAAGTATAGAAACTATGTCGAAAATGGCGCAGGGTCGCGCTTAGACAATACTCCGTATATTGGAAGACAAGAGAGAGTAATGTCTCTGAAAATTAAATAAAAGTTATGAAGTCATTCTTTTCTTATACCGTTTCCAATTCCAAATGTAGATCAGGCATTGTCCTCATCGTCATCATCACTACTGTTCTTACGGAGGTGAATTTTTCTTTTTACATTTTTCGAGTTTTCTTCTTCTTTTCTTTCACGTATTTTTTTAGCTGCTCCTGTTAATTGTCTCTTCGAAGTCAGATCACCCTTACTAGTTTCTCTTTCAGTTCGAATCCCATCTCTCTTGACAGCTTCCTTTTTATCTTCACTCTTTGCATCTTCAGTTTTTAATTCTGGAAAAGCGGTGCGTCCAAGTTCTATTATGTTTTCCAATTGCTCTTTTGACATTATATGATCCAATGTCATCGGTTCACCACTGCCTATTGCTGGTTCTTCCAATAGAACCCAGAATAGAGCCAGACAACAGATCAGCACCAGTGTACCGATAATACTATAAGTTAATGAGGTGATACTTATTCTGAAGAGAGATAGTAGAACGATAGCTGCAACGAGGAATATGGGCAGTAATAAATAGACCAAGAAGACTAATACGACAAGCCAAGGATGCTTGTACAATCGTAGGTCAAATGGGCCAAAACGACACTGCTGAGTTATGAGACCGCAACAACAACGACAGAAGTATATGCGGTGAAACTTTTTTCCAAATTTGTTTTGCATCACCCTATGTATCCAGCAGCTGACACCTCGATGCTCTTCAAAAGCAAAGATTAATAGCTTTAAGAAAACTTCAACAATAGCTCCCAATGCTGTTAGAAGTCCAGTACAGATACCGATTTGGTTCATTACATCGGAGATTGATATATCACGTCCAATCCAGCGAAAACAGGTTGCGCTGCTGGCTAATAGCTGAAAATTGATTGTGTCACCAGGGTTACATTGGAAATATGTCGTGTTAGGACCGTGATAACAATCCATTATACCATAGGGAGGACAGGGGCCACCTTGATAGACAGTCGTATCGGCTAGGAAACACGTTTCGAAAGCAGCAAGGATTACAGAGGAAATGACGATTGTAGTGAGAGTTATGATTAAAAACTTAGTCCTTTTCTTATGTAAACTAAGATGTCTACCATACATGTCCAGAATCTGTGTATGGTCCAACGAAGGATTTCCAAGGTCGCCTTGTTTAGTTGTCGGCGCTGGTAAGACTATCGGCTTTGGTGGAGCTACTGGTGAATTACTCTCTATTGTGCCAACTTTCTTTGGCCAACAGCATCTAAACTCGTTCTGGAAATCGTCGACATGCTCTGACTGTGGTAGCTCTGGCTCATAATCATCAGGGTTAGGAGACATTGACTGATTTTTGTCACTTGCAGCATCATCAATGCCCTGCTCTTGTTCTACCTGTTCGTCCACCGAACTGGCAATATCCTGCCCTAGTGCTGATGCCGCAACGATACCGTGAAAAAGTTTCGATAGGAAATGGCTGCAGCTCTTGGTGTCGGCATCTGTATGGAGTCTTGAGTTTTCTTGTACAATACTTTTGTTTCTATCAATTGTACAACGTTTAATATTGAACAGTTTAGCAACGAGACCGTAGAATTGTTTATGAAAATTCCATAGAAGAAGAGTTAAAAAGACGAAAACGAATAGAAATATACCAACGCCAATGAGAATACTACAGATAACCCAATTCCAGTAGGTCCAAGTCATTATCCTGAGCTGTATTGGCCCTTGGCGACGACTATAATTTCTAGAGAACAAAGATCATATTCAGATACAATTTAGTATTTGCCGGGGCGAGTGGATTTTGGTTCGAAGTCTTTCTGCAAGAAATCTTAGAAAAAAAACTCGACTTTGCTCTTCTTTCGGTTGGCGGTTGTCCCTGCAAGGTTCAGACGTATTGCCTGTGTTGGTCTCTTCGGAAACCTACTTTTATTAGTGCCAAATGCGGCTGGCCTCAATTTTGAACTGGGATAAAAGGCTTTCGAGTATTTAACTTATTCGACCTCTGCCGATGGAAACATTAGTTTGATGGATTTTCAGCTTTTTCCGTTTACAAATAGAAGTGAAACAGAAATCGAATTTACCATAGCAAGCAGTGTTCGATTGAAAAATAGCTGAACTCTTAGAAATGAAAAATAAACGTATAATTTAACCTGTTTCGTTGACAATCGACGCCGGATGTTGATAGTGGAAATTTTTCATACAACGGAGTACCATTTCAAAACTGTTTCTTTTATGTGTTGCGACAAATAATTCTTTCCCTTTTCTTTCGGTTTTTTTCGGTTTTTTTTCTTTGATGAAACCAGAGGGCTTTTTCTCATGTCAGAAGCACTACACTGATTCATTTTTTTGCTGCGTTTTTTAATCGGATAACGTTGTTTTAAAATGCGACAAGAGAACTATCGATTGTTATGATTTGATCTGATTTATTTTCAGCGGGATGAAAGGTAAACAGTAATTTGAGTATGTACACAAAGAAGCCAAATAAAACGAAGAGTAGAATGTTTTTTAAAACAGCAACCCTCTTTTATATCGTTCTGATAACAATCTTATCTTATTCTTGCCAGGCGTGGGCGAATCCGAGTCCGAGTCCGAACTGGAAGATTTCTTGGCGGACTCGGACTAGAACTTGAGTTTTTGTATTTCGAGTCCGATCTATTCAACTTTTAGCACAAATGAACAGAGAAAAATGAAAAGCGAAATAACAACGCTCTCTGTTTCACAAGAAATTGAAAATTTTGTTCGGAAGACGAACACACAAAGTAACCTTGTTTTCGAAAATACCAAATATCTATCCACGGCTCAGTGAATTAAAAAAGAGAAATACACCACACTCATCCAGAAGGAATCTAAAAGATTACTGGACTCGAAATGGGTCGGACTCGCCTATGCCTGATTCTTACCAAATATAAGAAAACACCCGAAAGTGACAACTACTTCATGAGATGCTGATAAGAGACTTGTAAAAATTTCTCTGAAGAAAGCGATAAGAACCTCCATGCTATTCTTATTTGTTTTAGTGTATATAAATACATGTAACTCTTTTATGTTTTCGACAAGAAAAATAAAACCATTTACAAAATAACCGTTTGAACTTTATTTAAACAGTTTTTAAAAGAAATTAATGCTTCTGGATATCGAAAAAAGAGAAGTAATTTAGGTAATAGTTCATCGTGAAAACGACGTGCATAATGAGGATACACATGATGACGGTATAACTGCTGAAAATGAAAAAAGAGAGCAAAAACCTGAATATACTTTTCTATCAAAAGGCGAAAACATTTAAAATTTTTACGTAAACCGAATTCATTGAGACACAAATCGCGATCACGCTGAAGATTTGAGTACATTGTGCATCTTTTTAGTAATGATACATATCTTCCGTCTTAGCTCGGACATCTGTAACGGTTGGTATCTAATTGACAATAGAAAATAGCTGGTTTATAAACTTTTGAGGACAATTACCTCTAATAACTACGATCTGACACTATTGAGCAGTATTTTGGACTTACTGTACTTCTGTATATGCCTCTTTATTGTTACATTAACATTTCTCATTCTTTCTCTTGTGCTATGGCCATGTATTCATTACTAATGATGTAGACCATTGCGCAATCACTGTGCTGAAGTTGGTGAAAACAACTACTGTTTTTAAACGAATAAAATGATCACTCTTATTTTACTAGACAGTCAGCTTATAAATGTCACTTTATTGCTTATTTTTATTACACGTTTATTATACACATTTTATTGCTACGCCTGTCACATTAGTACGATAGAAAGGTAATCATCTTTTATTGTCATATTTTAGACGGCAGTGCACATTTTCATTGCATTTGTTTATGATTTATGATATCAATTGATCTAGTAGTCTGTTTTAGATCAATTATTAGCTTGCTTTTGAATATATCTTGCTGCATGTAATTTTTTATGCCATGTTACATCTATCCAAAAAGTAAACAAATCAATCGATATATACTCAAAAAGCAAACGATTCGACGAAGAGAAACTCACTCTGATACGAAATATAGATTACATTTTTTACAAGTACGTTTTCTCTTGAACTAATGATAAATAATAATTATATGGCATATCTTTGTAGGCTGTTATTGGAATAACACTGTTCAACTGTAGCTCTGCAAACAGAGAAACAAAACGTCTCCCTTTATCATCAAAACTGGCAGCAACTTCTTCTAAATAATGGCACAGATACTTTATAAGAGAGAGTATGTTACACTTATTGATTCTTACTGCTTTTTTCGTGTTTAAATGGTACAGGTGGTGGTGAAAACCTTTGATCTAAAACAATATTATAACTTGAAGGAAATGGTTTACAACATTTCAAATCGTTACATTAACGATTTGAAGAAGATACTTTGACTGATGTACATGTTTTACACATCACTGTGGATCAACATATATCATTGTCAGCTCATCATCATCATGATCTGGTGGTGATTCACACTGAGCTACGACCGGATGACCACCAATAATCATTTCATTCCATACTTCACAAATAGAACCCATATAGTGACCTAGACCTATATAGTGCAGATTTTCATTGCATTTGTTTATGAATTATGGTATCAATCGATTGAGTTACAACAAGGCGATAATTTCTCCATTATTCAGAAGAAGCTTAGCAAAATAGTGAGTGCGTATCCCGAGTTTGACTTAGAGAGTCATATTCAAATGGTACGAGATGAGGATCGTAGAATCAACATCGAGCTTAACGACACAAGTTTTAATGATCACAAACAATATTTGTATCGGTTAATCTCCGAACCAGATTACAAAAAAGGTGTAGAAATTTGGGAAATACAATTAACTTATCTCAATTTAGATGGTACGTACATTGCATTGTTTGTCCATTGTTACGCACAATTTTTTATGCACATACAATATCAATCGGTTTCTTTCGTTGCAGGCACGAATGGACAACCCTGAATGGACACACCGTGGTAGACACACACTCTTCTAAGAAAAACGTTTCCTTGCTTTCTGTTTTAATTTGTTTTTCACACAGCACAGTTGCGATAAATATCTTTACTGTTGATCGTTTAACGAAGGTGGGAGAAGCTATGCCCTTCATATCAGAAATTTGTGAAAGTAAAAATTCTTTTATACTACATTACACAAAAATAATCTTGAAATAGTGAGTTCTTTTATCTCTTTAGTCATTCCCGAATACTCAAAAAATCGGCTTTTAAACTGCTTATCGGCTTGATCTATTTCTTAACCAGCAATACAGAAATCGCTTACATAATTTTGGGGCCACTTGCCTAGCATCACAGTCTAAGCAATCCGCTAAAATCGACTTTGGAACTATCGTAAAATATGAGAGTCGTCTTTAAAAGTAATTGTAAGTGCCAGTAATGCGGATCGAAATCATTTTTTTTTAGCAATGCATTGAAAACGAAACTTTCTATCCTTAGTTTGGCAAAAAGTGTCTTTCATTAACCCTTTAAGATCCACTAGACCAGACATTAGTGGACATCGTAGAATCACTACGGCAAGGTGGCGATGCGTCGGAAAAAAACGGATTATTTTTCAGCGCAAGTTGATACCATAAGCTAGCGTCTGCAAAAAAGAAAAAAAATTTCAGCCGGCCTAGGCAAAGGCACAAGAGTTTCAAGTTTGCTTTATATAATTAGCTGTAAAGGGTTGACATCGTATTTTGTTGAAACTCAACTAATGTGAAGGGTAACAGGTTAAAGCTAAGTTTTTTCTGAATGAGACTGATGTATTGTACACAAGCACCACTGACGACAAACGGACGGGAAATCAATTAGCTGCAAGTCTTGTGTGCTCCGCTTTTTGAAATTAAAAGTAATATATGATATCTTGTGCCTTTTTCTAGAGGTTAAAGATTAGTACCGTCCATAGAAGTGTCGAAGACAACACGCCCACATTAAAAAAGAAAAATCTGAACATCCTTTACGATCACAACATCGAAGAGTTGGTTCTCAATGATAATGGTACTGGTGATACAACCAACAGTTTCAACATGGATGTTACAACTTTTTGGTTGATCTGTGTTTTGATGAGAGATGACAGCATCATGGCTTGGTGTACAACCAAGCAGATGAAAGAAAGTGAGAAGACACATTGATGTTACAAGCTACTCTCTAAAAAATATCCGTACCCTACAAAACCAAAAAAAGGTTTTGGCATTTGCTCCTAATAGAAACCGATATCCGTACCCTACAGACCGGTCTAACCGTTTTGTAGGATTCATTATCGGTTTTCCTCTTTCTATGATACGGATAATCCGTTTCTATTAGGAGCAAATGCCAGTATCGATATCGGTATTCAACAGACCGGTCTAACCGTTTTGCAGGATTCATTATCCGTTTTTCTCTCTCTATGATACAGATAACCCGTTTCTATTAGGAGCAAATGCCAATACTAATATCGGTATTATCGGTCTAACCATTCTGTAGGATACGATTAATCGTTTCTCTTTCTGAAGAGTTTTCTAGAGGAAAGAGTTGCAACTGTGTTTTTTGTGGACAGTTGGATTGTATCTTTTCATTGGTTATAAAATAACGCTTAGAACTGGCTTGTTAGTTTATTGGGATTAATATGCATGTTTCTGCTCGTCAGATAAATAAAAACCCATATCGACAACACTACGTTAGTTTGGAAAATTAATGGTGAGTAATCAGGACTTTTTTGAAAAATGCAATCGGTCGGGCATCTTTTTTGGTGATCGGGTGCGGTTAATCAGCTTGATTAGTTGAGATTAATCTGGAACTTTCACCGAAGTCTTACTATAAGGGAAGTGTATCAATTACTGAATATTCATGTCATCAATCTGGTAAACAGTTTCTCCATTTCCAACAGTTTCAACATTGTCCTCACTGTCGTTATTGTCATCATTACTAGAGAAATCAGGATCATCTGATTCACCATGAATATCATGGTTGCGATTTGAATTTAATGTACTTTTTAATAAATTCTGATGCTGTCTATAAATATGAGACTTGAAAGCCTGAAATGTGCTGTACGTTTTTCCGCATTTATCGGATATATCACAATTTAAACGAAAATTTGGTTCATTTTGATGGTATAAAAATAGATGATCAAATAGGCGTCGAAAATCAGGTATGATATTTTGTTAGAACAAAAACAACACAAAAAATTATTTCGTTTCATTTGCGACAACTTTAAGCGGTTCTAACAAAATATGACTAATAAAACAAAAAAAAAAGTAAATAGCGAAAGAAAAAACAACGACACGGAAAACATACATCACGAACGTGAAGTCGTAAAAGGGTTGGTTGGAGAGAAGTCCCGTGGATAGAGAATTGTCATCTGATATCTCCCTTTTCACAAACTTTTCTTTTTTGAATGTTTTAGGTAGATAAATTTTTTGATTTTGCTATCGCTTTCGTAATAATAATGAATACGATAGGATTAACAGCTGCTAGCCCATTAGAACGAGACGTTTCAATGATTTAGTCGAACACTGACTATTTCAGGATTCATTGGAAACTGAAGTCCGCCTAAAGTCCCACCAATAAAAAAGATAAAAAGGAGGAGGAGAAGCCAGAAAAAACATTGGTGGCAAAATCAAGAAAAAGAGCTGATTAAAAACTGAAGGAAGAAATCAATGGAAAAAAGCACCGATCGGAAAAGTGTACGAGAACTGCAGGAAAACCTTAAGGAGCAAAACTAATTAAATGGTATGCAGTAACTTATTTTAGAATTATTGTTATTTCGAGGGACTCACTATAAAAGAGTGTTTACTTACCTTCAAAATTTTTAATTATTGTTTTTTCATTAATAAACGTTTTTAACCATTCTGTGACTCTTTCGGATGACCATAAATTTGCATTCATTCCGTAACTACAAAGAATCGATTCTATCTGGAATAGTGATAAGTAAATAACACAAACGCAGCAGCAGAAGAAAATTAACAAATAGCTAGAATAAATAGTAACCGAAAGCTGGCAATGAAGTGCAAACAATGAAGAGAGTAAATAACGTCGGAGATCGAGAAAACCAGGCGTGAATTCAGATGCATGTGTATGTATTCAAGCACGTATATCTT